AATTTTGGCTACTTTGGGGGGATTCTAAAAGCAGTCAGTTTGACTGGGAAGACAATACCCTTAATCTAAACTTACTCCAGGGTCGGGTCCTGTGCTGGGTGGCCTTCGAGAAAGGCTCTGAGCCACAGCAGCTGATCTCCTTCTGCGTGGGTTACAAAGCGGGGTAGTTTTCACCTCTGTGGGGTCCCCATGTTTCTAGATACTCCCTGTTCCCTGCCATCTCTCATGTCTTTCATGTAATAATTTGCTAAAAGCCACAAAGAGCACCAGCCAATGTACACTAATATTCTAGCTCTTTCCAACCATGTCTCCTAGAGCTACGGGCTCAGCCAATACATGATCAGCCTTCCAAAGTGTCATAAAAATGGTTTGATCAAATGCTTTTTCCAAGGTATAATAGGGGTCTCCAACTTTCCAGCAGGTAATATCTGTGCCCTCCCGCCATGCAGCAAAGCCGCTAAGTCAATGCCTCGTGTTGTAGGGATTTGTTAGGACAGCAACCCCACTGCCAGTACTAATTTTTGTTTATTTAGGGTAATGAAAGACTGCTATAATAGAGATCCAATAATGATTTAGTGGCTCGAAGGAGATAGAAGTGTGTTTCTTTCACATGTAATAGTCTCTGGTGCTCATTTCAGATTGGCAGGCTGTTCAGGTCCACAGCTCACCAGGAGCCTGGGTCCTTCTATCTTATGTCTCTGCCATCCCAGAGGCCAGTGGCCTTGTCGGCTTGATCACCCCTGGGTTGCAGGCACATCCATGTTCCCACTTTGAAAAGGGAAAAGAGAACATGGGGCGAGGGAGGGGCCCACCTTAAGGCTGACACACTTCTCTTCCCGGTATAGCCATTGGCAAAAAACTTAATCACGTCAATAGACCTACGTGAGCACAAGAGCATCTGGGACACGGTCTAGCTGTGTGCCCCGGAGGAAGGGGAAAATCAGTGTTGGTGGACAATGAATGTCTCCAACATGGGCCTGGGAGCTGAGAGGACAACCATCTATGTAGGAGCCCCTCACACTCACCCCACACACAGGCCACGACGTGCTTATTCCTCATCCAGGACACGGGACCAGCACACCAGCATTACACGTATTTGTTTGGTGACTCTGCCGTGTCCCCACAGTCCTGTCTAAAGTGCCGCCCACCATCGTCCCCTGTGGGCCAGCGGGCGCCTGAAGGTGCTGCACAGCAGCACCGGGTGCCTCCCGGGAGACGGAAGGGCGTGCCAGCCCGGGTTCTCCGAGAAGCAGATGCCAAGATGGGATTAAGCCTGCAAGCATTTCATGAGGAGATGTGCCTGTGCGAAATGAATTAGAGAGGAAGCCAGCAGGCTGAGGTGCCAGAGGGACCCTGAGAGAAGGAGCGGGGAGAGCTGTCCATGGAAGCAGGCTCACAAAGCTTTGGCACAGCCATGGGGAGCCAAAAGCCACCAACAAAGAAATCTTATGTCTCCCAGGAACAGTTCCGCCTTAGTCTCCTAGCCACGCACATAGCCATTGGTGGGGAGCAGCCCGTGGGGGGCCCGGGATGCGTTTCAAAGCCAGAACTGCTCTGCTCTGGTCCATTACATCCCCTGTAACAGGTGGTCTGCAAGGCCCTGTCAGGGCTGCCACGGGGCTTACGTAAGACTGGGGGTCATTGTCAAGAAAGAGGATAGGCTTTGAATTAAAAAAAAAAATACTGTGTTGTAACCCAGCTCACCGCTGACTAGCTGTGTGGCATTGGGCAAGACACGTAACCCCTCTGAGCCTCAGTTTCTCATCTGGAAAATGCCTGGGAAACATTATCAGGATGAAAGTAGAGTACCCACAGAAGTGCTCGCTGAATGGTGGCCCTTATGCCCTCCCATCTTGCCAAAGCCCAGTGGACCGACAGGCTACCCAAATGTGCTCCCTGAGGGACGACGCTCAGGTCCATGGCTGACCCCACTCCCTGGGATCACAGACAGCCCTTCCCTTTCAACCCCACACCAAGCAGGCCCAGATTTGGCACACAGTGGGCTGCAGAGGCCAAGCTGGCTTTCAAAACAGTCCAAGAAACATCCTGATAAATATCTCCCCCTGGGCCAAAGAGAAATATTTAGAAGAGGCTGCTGGCCAGGGCTGGAATGGCCACTTGTTACCTTCTCTGGGATCCAGCTTGTTTGAAAACTGGTCACCCAAGCTAACACTGTGGGCTGAGGCCCAGACGGGTTAGGGAAGGTGGGGGCGTCTCCTTGAGCGAGCCTGTAAATCCCAAAGCCTGTAAACCCAGACAGCTGGGCAGGCTCCCACCCACCCCAGGCAGTGCCAGCTCTGCAGCTCCTCCAGAGGATCTCTGATTTTCTCTCTCCTCCGATGCCCATTCTCCGGAGCACTTTCTACCTCACCTTCCTTCCCCTCTATTCTCCATGGGCTTCTTTCTCTCTCCCAGGGTGGCCCTTAGTCTTCTTGGTCTCTTGACATTTTCTGGCTCCTGACTGTCTGTTATTTCCCCATCTCTCCATGACCTGAGTTTCCCTTCTCGCCAAGGGTCTCATTCCCGCTCCATCTTTCTGGTTCTCATGCTCTCCCGCTCTTGCAACCCATGTCTCTCCCTCTCTTTCCCCCTCTTCTACCATTTGGCCTCTCAGCCCAGCCCAGCTGCCTCCTTGGAGCTGTGCTGCCGCCTTGGAATGCCTTCAAGCCCCAGGGAAGAGCGGAGCCCCAGCAGTTCCCCGGGGACCTCAGAGGCTCCCTCTCCCATCTCCCTCCCTTCCTCCTCTGTGCAGGGCAGAGATGTTCAGAACCGGAGAGCACCCCAGACCAGCCTGCTGTCCCTGACACTGCAGCATCCCAACCTCCCCCTTCCTCGCCCAGCCCCTCTCTGTCCATGTAACTGCCTCTTCCAAACTTCTTTCTGTATCAAACCCTTACAACTAAAGGCCAATTATAGGGAAAACTAAGAAACTGGGACAAACAGGAGATGACTTCTATAATAGAGTGGGGAATGGGCTTAATTAAATGTGGAGCATCTACTGAATAGAATAATTTTAAAACAAACCAGGAGGTAGGCAACATGGGCATCAATCTTCCTCACTGCCCCCTCACTCATTTTCATCCAACAAACATTTCGGAAGCACCGACTGGGTGCTGGGCCCTGCCAGAGACTGAGCAGGAACTGGAGTGAGAGGATGTGGTCCCCACAACAACCCGCGATACTGGGGGTTGGGGAGGCTGAGGAAGGGGCTGAAGGTGGATCAGAGAAGGGGGCTTTCTAGTGGGGAGAAGGGCACTGGCAGGGGTGTGGTGCCCAGAGGGGAGACACCCTAGCCAGGATCTCAGGCCCACAGTGTGTGACACCCACCAGGAAGGTTTGGGACACCAGCTCTCGAAGAGTAGAAACAGGAGCTACCACTAAAGATGCAAGATAAGATGGGGGTGGGGGGAGCAGACTGAAGGAAAAGAATGGGGGGTGGGGACTCAGAGTTCAGCCACCCTCCTCCCACCCCAAGGAGTTGAAACCAGTCTAGCCATGGCAGAGACTGGAATCAAAGCATCCACCCACAGCCGCCCTCACCAGGCTGCGGCATTGGCGATAAGAGCCTCCTGTCCTAAGTCCCCACCACAATGTAACTGGCTTCACTGGGGACTGCGATGGCCAGTGTGCACCCAGGAGCTCGCACAGCACCGAAGACCCAGTCTCCAAGGCCCGAAGCCTGTCCTCCTCTCTCTGAGCCAGTGAGGACATTCCTTCAGGCTCTGTGGGTTCTATTTTTGTTTCTGTTTAATTCCCTCTGCTCTCTGGGGTTTTCTGCAGAGCCCAGGGCTAGGAGAGGTGCAGTGTGAAGAGGGAAAGGAGTTTCAGATCCCCTGCGGGGCTGAGCTGAGCACCAGCCCCCACCACCAGAGGGCACTGCAGAAGAAAAACAAAACAAAACAGGGCGACCTGGAGAGAGGAGTAGGAAAGCACCAAAGCTCTCTGCGCCTCCCTAAACTATTCAGCTAGACATGGCCGTCAACTGGGGAGTAATCCTGGAGGGTGGGCTAGTAGGGGTCCTAAATGTGGGGGTCCTGCCCTCCTCAATCGAATGTTGTTTATTATCCCATCACCACCTGCTAACCCAGAGAGTTGAGGGCGGAAAAGGGGTGTGGGCAGCCGCTGTAAAGCACTGGACAGACTCATGTGATGGAAGGGGCACAGACTCATGTGATGGAAGGGGCACTGGACGCAGAGTCAGGGGAGCTGGCTGCGCCTCCCACACTACTCTCTCTGTGACATTTCCCTAGCTGCTAAATAAAAATACATTTCTCATCTGTAAATAAAGGGGGTGGGGAGACTCAGCGGTACCCAAGCGCCCTTCAGGCTCTGACCAGAGATATGCCCCACCCTCCTTGCAGAACCCCGAAGAGGGCATAGTGAAGGGCTGGACAAAGCGTCGGAAACAACGGCTATTTGCTCCCGCAGCAAAGGGTCGTCCGGCACGCCTCTGAGTCAGTGCAGGGGGCGCGGGGCCCTCACCTGCACACGACAGTGAGGGTACACCCACAATCTTCGCCCAGCTCGGGCAGGCTTCCAGCCCTCCCTCGGGTCCCACCACCCAAATATTCCCGCTTGAGTCTCCCACTGCTAACTCCAACATCTTCCCACCCGCCGTCAGGAACGGGCGCCAATGAGTGGGGTCTTCTGCGGTAGGTATGGGGCGATGACCCTGACCCAAGCCTTCCTGAGAGGTCAACTGCACCGAGGAGGGTGTTCTCCGTCCTCCACAGCCTCGACCTTGGCCTCACAAGCGACTTCACTCTATCCTGGACGCCAGCGATGGGGAGCAGACCTGGGAAGCAGGAGCGCCCTGAGCCTGGTGTGGCTCCACTTGGGGAGACAGGCAATGGACCTGGGCACCAGGGACGCGACCTCATTCCAATGACTGAAGCTGGTGGCGTTTCTTCCACTCGGGGATCCCTAGCCTCCCATTCCATCCACATCCTTCCTACACCTCCCCCAGTCTTGGTTCAAGAAATCAAGAGCCTGGAGAAATGCACTGTGCAAATATACTGACTTTATTTGTCTCAGTTTCGGAGACTCAGACATATCCAGGTAAAAAGATCGTTAAATAAACGCTGTCAGCCATCGCAATGCAAAAATAAATATCAATCCTCCGGTCATAGCAGGAGCTGCGCTGCGCCCCAAGTCCCATCCGCCGCGTCTAACAGTTATAAAAGTGTTCAGCGAGAGTGTGTTGGCGTGAGTGTGAACGGTTGTGCGCTGGGGGGCACGGTGGTGGGGCGGTGTGCAAAATCGGAGTTGCAAACCACCGGACAAGGGCGTGGAGCAGCTCTCCGGGAAGCCCTCAAGAAGCGGGCGACTCAAAGCCGGCGCGCCTTCCCGCACACACTCACAGCAGAGTTCGTAATAGGAAGAGTTAAAAAAGAAACATTTACAATGGCAAAGAAAGCGGCCCCCTCCCTGGCGCGCACGCTCGGATCCAGGGCGAGCGCGGCGCTGGGCCGGCGCACAGAGCAGTTCGCAGCCGGGCGAGAGTCCAAGAGCGCGATGGGGCCGCGGTCCCGGGTCCTCAGGGGTTCCCGGGACGCGGGGCCGTCTCCGGTTTGCACGCTTGTTCCCGGCGGGCGCGGAGACGCGCGAGTCCCTGCAGCGGGCGGCGCCCCTCACAGGGCCGAGTCAGAGTCGCTGGAGTCCAGGCTGTTCCTCAGTTTGCAGCTGCTGAGCTGCTCCCTCTGCAGCGACAGGCTCTGCGTGCTGCGGCGCAGGCACTCCAGGCTCTGCAGGAACGACTTCTTGGCCTTCTCCTCCTCCATGGGGGACACCCCCTCCTCCTCCACCTCCTGGATCTCATCGAAGGTCACGGGCTGCGTCTTGAAGCGGGACTGGCGCGGCCGCCGCAGCCGGCCCTTGCCCTTTGTCAGCTTGG